ATCTTCGGGGAGCATACAATCTAGTACGCATCAAAGAAGGAGATAAATGGAAGACTGCATTTCGAACTAAGTATGGTCATTTTGAATACAACGTCATGCCTTTTGGACTTACAAATGCACCAACAGCTTTTCAACATCTAATGAATGATATTTTTCGAGAGTTTTTGGACGATTTTGTGGTCTGTTATCTAGACGACATCTTGATCTATTCTAAGAATCCAGAAGAACATGAACTTCATGTTCGTCATGTGTTACAGAAATTAAAAAATGCAGGACTCTATGCCAAGATAGAAAAGTGTGTATTCCATACTACTCAAGTCGATTTCTTAGGTTACATCATTTCAAATGATGGACTTATGATGGATCCTAAGAAAGTTCAAACTATTATAGATTGGAAGATCCTAAAAACGATAAGAGATGTCCAATGTTTTTTGGGATTTTTCAACTACTATCGGATCTTCATAAAAGACTTCTCTCGAGTTACAACTCCACTTACACGTTTGACTTATAAAGACAAACTCCAATGGAATCAAGAAGCGGAAGTTGCTTTTGAATCTTTAAAGACAGCGTTTGTTTGTGCACCAATCTTGTATCGTGTTGATTTTTCCAAAGCATTCTTTATAGAAATAGATGCATCGGACTTTGCTCTGAGTGCGGTTTTATCACAAATGGGAACAGATGACTAACTTCATCTAGTAGCCCTTCATTCAAAAAAATTCTCAGTAGAAGAAATCAATTATGAGATCCACGACAAAGAACTTCTTGCAATTGTGGATTCTTTTCAAGAATGGCATCATTATCTGGAAGGCGCTTCTACTCTAATCACCGTGTATATGGATCACAAGAACCTTGAATATTTTATGTCAGCACGCATATTAAATCGTCACCAAGCTTGGTGGAGCATGTCTTTATCAAGATTCGAGTTCATCATCACTTATCGGCCAGAAAAACAACAAGGTTTATCCGATGCCTTGTCTAAACATTCTTATCTTGCACCAAAAGAAGGAGATGCAGCTTTTGAGCAACAAAGAACGGTTCTCTTGAAGCCGGAGCAATTTCATCTTTGAGCAATAAAATCAACATTGACTGTTGATTTAACTTTTCTTAAGCAAGTCCAGTTAAGTATGTCTTCAGACCCTCTTGTTCGTGATATCAAGAACAATTCTTCTAAATCTCATGATCTATCTAAATTTGAATTCAAGAACAACCTACTCTATTTCAAAAGATGCCTATATGTTCCAGAAGGAGAAGCACATTTACGTGTTCTTCAAGCTCGTCACGACTTCCCAACAGTAGGACATTTTGGATATAATAAGACTTTAGAGTTGGTATCTAAGGATTTTTGGTGGCCTCAAATGTGGAAAGAAGTTAAAGATTTTGTACAATCATGTGATGTTTGCTCAAGATCGAAAACTCCTCATCATCGACCTTTTGTCACGGACATACATATAATTACCTATATGAATAGATAAAAGTATGTAAAAGTAGGTTAATTGTGTAATATCTTCTAGAGAAGCTTCTTAGAAGCTTCATAGACGCTGCTTTGACTTTATAGGAGTCTATAGTTGACTTTTAGGTTAGAAACTTGATCAACAAGTTAGCCATGTGCCACGTATGTTGGAAGCTTAAAGAACAAGCTAACTACATGGTCCATCCATAGAAAACTTGCCTTGCAAGCAAAGGCATGTGGCCTAGAAAGTCAACATATATTGGAGGTCTTATAGAACATCGCCACGTGGCTCCTAGTTAGATAGTATATATAGAGGTAAGAGTGAAGCCCTCTTCACTCTTGTCAACTCCTTTCTTGCTTCTAGTCTAGTTTCAAGGGTCTCTAGTTTTCTTGTATTTTGGCAATAGCCATTCCAGTTTCTTTCTTAATATACATATTTCTATTTTGTCCTATTTCTTTTTGAGAAAAGTCTCACTTACTCTTTAGCTTTCATCGAGTTCTTGTCCTTGACACCTTTTGGACTTCTTCAGCCATTATCCATTCCAATTTTCTTGAGTAAGAGTGGATTACCCCTTTCTCTTGAGAAGACATAAGCATATTAGAAGTTTGCGGATTACCCACTTCTAGATCGTTTTACCAAGATGGCACATTTTGTACTATGTACAAAATCTATCACAAGTGAAGAAACAGCTAAGCTCTTTCTTTGACATATCTATCGCTATCATGGATTATCCAAGGATATTATATCAGATAGGGGGACTCAATTCATATCAAGATTT